TCTCTCTCTCTCTCTCTCTCTCATATGACCATTTGCCACCGAACATCAAGAAGACTCCGGTGGGCGTTGTAGAGCATCCGGCAAAGTGGACAGCGAAGTTAAAAAGATGGCAGTAACCTGAGCAGAACGCAGGCTCTTGTGACTGGATATAGCCCGGACTTCAGGCGAGATACGCTTTCGTCAGCATCCAACCATGAGTTTCCTTTTCTTTACAAATTTAAGCTACAAGCTCACAGTAGAAGTGTTACTACCTTTAGTGGGGGGGAAAAAAAAAAAACACGGACACACTACAGAGAAAATTAGCATGGCCATCCTGTTGAGACACTCTGAAAGTCGAAGCTGTTCGGACCATTAGACCAGGAAACAAAAAGAAGTGGGCCTACCAACCCCCAAAATTGTTTTGGAGGCACCTGGCAGCACGCAGAACTGCATGGGACCACCAGGCTTCCCACTGGGTCCAGAAACGCCAGGTTTGGGTGTTAAAGCACCAGTACATGGGCACCTGGGCCGCAGGTTTGACACCTCGAATTCTGGAAGTGCAAGATGAAAATGCGACCTCCGATCCAATTTATCAACAGCAGGCCCAGCGTTTGACGTTCTGGCCTCATTTTCTTGCGGTGACAAGTTTCGGACTGCAAGGCTGGGGCAGTGTACTAGTGGTATAAGGCCAGCTGGGACCCCAAGCAGGAGAGCAGCATGGCGAGGCAGCCAGGCAGCCTACCAGGCAGGTACAGGCAGCCCGTGCATAACATAAAAATAACCCAGGTCACAAGTTCAAACCCAAACTGACAGGGCAATATTTGGGTCAACCCCCTTCTCTTACACAGAAAAAGAAACAGAACAGAAAGAAGGGGAAGGAAAATCCCTTTCCCAGCCCATAGCACAGACATATACACACTGCATGAGGCCAAGCCAACGAAGAGAAGTGGACATACCTATGTATGTGAGCCCAGTGTTGAAGAGAAAATGGCTGATCACTCTGGAAAGTCATGGCCGATCCCACCCCAGCGACATCAAAAATGTCTGTTCTATCTATCCCAGTTTTGCTACCCCCGTCCTTCATGCTCCACTTGCTATATGAGCCCTCTCGAGGAGTTCTTTGGGAAAAGAAGGTACGGGGAAGGAGAGAATGTACATCTGGTAGAGAACGGATCCACTTCAATGCTCCAATTGATGACGGGAATGGCACCTGCACATCACATCACAAATGTCATACAGTGCTGTTCAGGTTTTCCCTGACCGTAACAGGGGTATTTTGTTCATTTTTTTATTTGCCGAAATTGCCGGTTTGAAAAGGAACCGGATTGTCACGCCCCAGAATAGAATGCGTTCATGACATTCTCTGATACTGCGTGAGAAATTCTACTTCACAAGGTTTTTTTCTCATCTTTCTCTCTCTAATGCTGTTCAACAAATCAGGCTGACCTTCAGTACACCTTGTGGATGATGATCGATCATGCTCCCCTGCGGACAGAGCAGGCAGACACCCAGGATTTTCCTCCTTATACAGTAAACTAAAAGGGCCTTTACCCGTTCAGAGCCTGAATGACGAACGCAGCATAATGGGGCCCACTCGGCCAGAACTCAATTCGTGAAAAGCAGATCAAAAGACATGTTCTCTGGGTCAAAAGTCACATCCTAACTTAAGTGAGGAGTTGTGCCAAAGGTCACAGTCGCGCCCCAGGACGAACAGTTGCAGCATTCAATTGTGAGAGTCACGTCTGTTTGTCCAGGGGGCTGTGCGAGTCATGTCTGTTCGTGCAGTGAATGTGTCTGTTCGGGCTGTGTCTGTTTGTGCAATAGATGTGTCTGTTCATAAAGAAGTCAAAGAGATAAGGTCCCAGTCTAGATCCAAGTCAAAGAGGGAGTCTAGATGCAGTCTGGAAGTCCGAAATTCAGGCCTAAAGGACGCAGCAGCAGAAGACCCTGAGGGAAAGGTACTGGGACACATTCTGCAGTCTGGGACTGCGAAAGGATCCAAGGAAGGCTGATTCAGACCTCGCGAAGGGAGGCCAGCACTATAAAAGACCAGGCCACCCTCTTCACACGATAGATTCCCATTGGAATTGACGTGTGGAAGTGCTGTGGCACTTGTGCGCTAGAGTGCAGGGAAGGAGCTTGAAAGCTGCGCCAGGAAGGAGAAGTGCTGGGCGCTGGCTAGCAGAGGAAACCATAGCTGCGCCAGCTTTGTTAGTAGTAGAAGGGTTAGTGGTAGGATATCAGTGAGTAGCATTCAGAGTAGATTCTCGTAAGTAGGGAGTGTGCATGCATGATGAGACGAGAGAATCAGAACAGAGATCTTGAGAGAGAAGAGAGAGAGAGGACAGGTTCCTAAGTTGGATATGGTGGATACTAACCTGCTGGCACCTTACGTGTGATCTGGGGCATACGCTGGCTGGGCCAGGCCCTATGTTGGCGAATGATTGAAGGAGGCTTGTGTTCTGTTGACGCTGAACTCTTGAACTCGAGATACTCTTTATATAACGTGATTCTGGTAATATGAGCTGCGCTATCTGGTTCTCATCTCATCTTGACTTGGTTTTGTGTGAAGCTTCTCTATCTGTGTGATGACATCTATGCATGCGATGTGTAACACTCCCCAGCACGATCCCAGTTGCCGACCTCCTCCTGCTGCGCGGTCGCCCGTCGCCCGTCGCCCGTCGCCCGTCGCCATCGCCATCAGGTGTGCAGCTGCTGCTGCTCCGACGAAGGCCCCGACTGTCCTGCCGCTGCTGCTACCACGAAGGCCCCGACTGTCCTGCTGCTGCTGCTACGACAAAGGCCCCCGCTTGTTCTTCTTCTTCTTCTTCTTCTTCTTCTTCTTCTTCTTCTTCGTCTTCTTCTTCTTCGTCTTCTTCTTCGTCTTCTTCTTCGTCTTCTTCTTCGTCTTCTTCTCATCCTCCTTCTTCTTCTTCCAGTTCGTCGACATTCGGTCGGTGACGTGAGACACGACAGGTTACAAAAAAAAAAAAAAAAAAATGATTGTCCTCCTCCCCCTACTTCTCCACTCATCTTCTTCTTCTCCTCCTCCTTTTTTCCTCGTCGTCATCTCGTCTTCCACTTCTTCCCCTCCTCCCCTCGCATTTTCATCTTCTTCTTCTTCCCCTCCTCACCTCTCTTCTTCTCACAATTATTTTAGGATCTCTTCTGGGAGATGGTTCACTTGAGCCTACCTTCGCGCGCCCCCGTTACTCTTTATTTTGAGGACATTGATTTAGAGCTCGAGTACGTTGCGTACGTCATTTTGATTCTGTACCATGACGAATTAATTGATTCATTGTAGGCATTGTTTTTTGTTAATTAAATTAACGCAACTGACAGGCTTCGGTAGTGCGACCCGCCTGACCTGGCCCTTTGATATGATAGATATCATATCATATATATCCCTTACGGGATTTCAACCCGTGTCTTCGCCATGAAAAGGCGATGTCCTATTCTTCTTCTTCTTCTTCTTCTTCTCCCCTCATCAGGTCTTCTTCTCTCCTCGTCTTCTTCCTCCCCTCCTTCCCTACTCCTCCCTGCCTTTCTCCATACTCTACCGCCGCCGCCATACCCTATCGCAGCCATACTTCTTCCCCTTCTTCTTCTTCTTCTTCGTCTTCTTCTTCTTCTACATCATTCAGCAGGTCACGTGAGATACGACAGGCCATCCACCTACCCCCCCCCCTTACTCGGCTCATCCTCTTCTACTTCTTCTTCTTCTCTCCTCCTCCTCCTCCACTAGTCTTCTTCGTCTTCCCCTTGTCCACCTCGCGATTTCATCTTCCTCCATAACCTTTCGTCTTCTTATTCTTCTTCCCATTCTCCCCCACTCGTTTTCTTTCTCCTCTTCTTCTTCTTCTTCTTCTTCTTCTTCTTCTTCTTCCACCAGTTCGTCGACATTCAGTAGGTCACATGAGACACGTTAGGTGGGGAAAAAAAAACAAACGAAGGCCGTCCTCCTCCCCCTCCTTCTTCAGTCATCTTCTTCTACTTCTTCTTTTCTCCTCGTCGTCATCTCGTCTTCCACTTCTTCCCCTCCAGCCCCCACGTTTTCATCTTTCCCCTCGACCTTTCTTCATCTTCTTCTTCTTCCCCTCCTCACCTTTTTCTTCTTCTTCTTCTTCTTCTTCTTCTTCTTCTTCTTCTTCTTCTCCTGCTTCTTCTACTTCTTCTTCTTCTCTCCTCCTCCTCCTCCTCCTTCTTCTTCTTCTCTCCTCCTCCTCCTCCACTCGTCTTCTTCGTCTTCCCCTCGTCCACCTCGCGATTTCATCCTCCTCCATAACCTTTCATCTTCTTATTCTTCTTCCCATTCCCCCCCACTCGTTTTCTTTCTCCTCTTCTTCTTCTTCTTCTTCTTCTTCTTCTTCTTCTTCTTCTTCTTCTTCTTCTTCTTTTTTCAGTTCGTCGACTTTCGGTAGGTCACGTGAGACACGTTAGGTTAAAAAAAAAAAAAAAAAAAACGAAGGCCGTCCTCCTCCCCCTCCTCCTTCGTTCATCTTCTTCTTCTCCTTCTTCTCACTCGTCATCCTCTCGTCTTCTTCTTCTTCCCCTCCTCCCCCTTGCGTTTTCATCTTTCTCCTCGACCTTTCTTCATCTTCTTCTTCTTCCCCTCCTCACCTCTCTTCTTCTTCTTCTTCCTCCTCCCCCCTCGTTAGGTCCTCTTCTCTCCTCGTCTTCTTCTTCCCCTCCTTCCCTACTCCTCCCTGCCTTTCTCCATCCTACATCCTCCATCCCTCCCTCCCTCAATCCCATCTCGCCATCCTCCATCATCCATCCCAGACACCCCCCCAACCCCA